TATTATAGTATATGTTAATACACTAATTAGTGTACTATAAAGGAACAAAATATTAATATACTAATAATATACTATATTATAATTACAGTATATTACGGTATATAATAATATACTAATAATATACTATATTACAATTACAGTATATTATAGTATATGTTAATACACTAATTAGTATACTATAAAGGAACAAAATATTAATATACTAATAATATACTATATTATAATTACAGTATATTACAGTATATATTAATATACTAATAATATACTATATTATAATTACAGTATATTATAGTATATGTTAATATAATAATTAATATACTATAAAGGAACAAAATATAATATACTAATAATATACTATATAATTACAGTATACTACAATCTACAATTTATTAATATACTTATAATATAATATATAATTACAGTTTATTATAGTATATATTAATATACTGATTAAAATACTATAAAAGAACAAAGTATTATTATATTGTTAATATACTATATTATAATTACAGTATATTAAAGTATATATTAATATACTGATAAAATACTATATTATAATTACAATATATTATAGTATATATTAATATACTAATTAAAATACTATAAAGGAACAAAATATTAATATATTGATAATATACTATATAATAATTACAATATATTACAGTATATATTAATATACTGATTAATATACTGTATAATTACAATATATTACAATTTACAATTTGTTTTCTTTTATCTTCGTTTATATCCTTAATAAATTTGTTTAATGGCACCGAATAAAAGAAAGAAGATGATGATAATGATGATGATGATGATGATGATGATGAGAATGATGACAAAGAAGAAAAGAAAAATAAAAACGAAGAAGAAGAAGTGGAAGAAAAAAAAAAAGGAAGAAATGTAGAATGATGCAACATCTCTGTAAAATAACGTGAGATTCTTTCCGGCCTTTTTCCCCCCACCACCAGCACACCACCAGGACCCCCCACCACCGCACCAGCCCCTTTTACAACTTACAATCTGTTCTTTTCCTTTACACTTTTCGTCTCTCATTCTCTTTCTCATTCTTTCTATTTCTTTTATTTTTATTCTTCCTCTTCTTCCTCTTCGTGTTAGACAGCAAAAAAAAAAAAAGAGAAAGAGAAAGAGAAAGAGAATGAGAATGAGAATGAGAATGAGAGAGAAAGAGAGAGAGAAAGAAACATGGCTAGTTGTCCCCATCGGCGAATTAATGTCGTTGTGTGTCGGCCTGTTGTCATGTTATTAGATTATATTTGATGACAATAGGACGTGATTGGTGGCTGTCTCTTCTTTCGTCGCGTGAGTCTCTCTATGTTTTGTCGTCATCGTTTTACGACACTATGTTTATTTCTTTTTATGTTTTTTTTTCTTATTTATTCTTTCTCACTCACTCACTCACTCTCTTTCTCTTTCTCTCTTTATTTCTTCCCGTTACACTTGTTATATCCTTTTTTTTCTATCTTTTAATACTCGTGGTCGTTGCCACTCGTTCCGTTCCTTCTTCTTCATCATTTGCAAAACGAAGGAGGAATGGACTTTGTTATTTTCTATTTTTATTTTTATTTTTTTTTTTTGAAATTTATTTAATCATTTTATTTATCCCTGTAGACAATATTAATTGTTAAAATTATTATGAATTTGATAAAGACAGATGAGTAAAGATGTGTAATAATAAAAGTCAAATATTGTTGAGATTGAATAAAAATAATTATATAATAAGGTTATGTTATTATGCTATATATAATATTATTATAATATTTAAAATTATAAATATTATATAATAATATAATATTTTGTTTAATAATATTAATAATTATATTAATAAATAAATATACTTATATACCAAATATAAAATTTGTAAATAAATGTCAAATATTGTTGAGATTGAATAAAAATAATAATAATAATAAGGTTATGTTATTATTATATATAATATTTAAAATTATATAATATTATATAATTAATTTTTTAATAATATAATATTTTATTTAATAATAATTATAATTATATTAATAATTAAAAATATTTATATACCAAATATATATATATATATTAATATACATTATAATAAATTAATATATAATATAATTAATGTATTCAAATTAATAATAGTAATATTAATAATATAATAATAAAAAAAATATCTTTCCTCTTTGATATTACTTTATCAAATTTTTCAAGTCATTGAATAATAATTATAAAGGAAAAAAAGTCAACAAACAATTAAATAAACACAATTAGGATATTTCATTTTACTTGGTATACTAAACTCTTACTGATTATAGTGAAATTTAAGCAATGATATTTTCCTATAGGAAATACTTGACGAAACAAGGAAAATCCTCTTACAAATCTACTACCAATCATGTCGATGTTTCTAGTAATCCTACGGTTGTTTTTTTATAACAGGGTAATACCAAACTTGATAAAAAAAAAAAAAATAATAATAATAAATCGGAGTAATACGCTCGAATGAATTCCCCTGAAAATTCTGATTAGTTACTCCCGTTTGTTTTAAATAATAATAACGAACAAAAAAAAAAAGTAAATTGATCTTTTTTTTACAAAATGATTTACTCATTTTTTAATTGAAATAAATAAACCAACAAAAATGAACAAAAAAAAAAACAAAAAATAATGGGACAATATTTCAATGAACAAATATTTAAACAAAATATTATTACGTATTGATACATAATATTATAAATTTTCTAATAATAAAGCTAAACATATGAAATGTTTTAAT